CTTGCTCTAGGGAGAGATGATCTCTGCAACCGAGCCGGGCTGAAGGGAGGAATGTGTCTGGCTGGAGCGCGCGGCTGGCGCGACTTTGTGATCACCGCCAGCCAACATTGTTGTTGTTGCTGTGCAGCAGACGCGGCGCGAGCGCGGATTTGCCCGTCCAGCCGTTATTTAATGTTCGCTTTTTCGGAGCCGTTCGCCGTTGCTGCTGCTGTTGCTGCCGCTGTCGGGTTAAGGGCGCGCTCCGCGTTATAAAATAAGCGGAGAGGATAAGGTAACATTGTAGGGCAATAACCATAAACGGTTTCGCGCACTGGACCGGCGGACCCCCACGTTGCCGCTGCCCGCCGCCGCCACCCGCCGCCGCCGCCGCTGCTGCTGCTCGGGTAGGATGGGGTATCATCGATGCTGAGGGCAGCGAAAATCCGCCGGTACTGTACTTGTTGAAGAAGCACAGTGAGCTGTGAGTGTGTATATATGCAGTGTATGGGGGGACCCTGCTACCACTTCGGTCCAGCAGCGGCCGGGCCGTCCGTCCACTCCCCTTCCCACGGCCGGCGCTACTATAAGGGCAGCGGCGGTGGCGATTGGATAATGGAGGTCCATAAAGGTTCCACGCTCCGCCACGCTCCGCGCCCGTCACGCCGCCCTGTCTGTCACGCCCTGTCACGTTTGTCACGCCCCATAACGTGTCGCACCTGCTGCTGCTGCTGTGGTGGTGTGCCACCCTGGAAGAAACAAAGGGGGGCGCCCCCCGAGTCGTGGTCGTCGTGGTGGTGGGTCGACGTCGGCGCTGGCTGAGACACCAGCGCTGTACGAAATGGCAGCGAATAAATTATTCCTGCGATGCTCTGGAGACTGGTGCAGTGCACGGCGGCGCGCCCGGCGCAGCAGGGCGGCCGCTGCTGCTGCTGTTCTGCTGCTGGTAGTGCTCGTGGTAGTGGTGGTGCTGCTGCCGCTGCGGCTGCCGCTGCTGCTGGCGCCTCTATCTCAAATGATACTGTATTTGCAGGGCGGGTGATGAATGGTCGAGGCGCACGGCCCGCTGGGCTGCTGGGCTGCTGCTGCTGCTGCTGCTGCTGCTGCTGCTGCTGGGGCTGCTGCGCGGCTGCCGCTAGGGTAGCTGCCATGGGGGGGACTCTGCCTCTTGGCGCGGCTGTGCGCGAGTCCAAGGCGTGGCGAGGCGCCACCATGGGCGAGACGCTTCAAAAGTGAAGCGATCTGGACCAAGTCAGCCGCAGCAACAGCAGCAGCAAGAAGCAGCACCCCCGCAGAGCGCCGCTCAGATTATTGTCTTCTTTTGTTCTCGTGCGTCTCACGCCGCATCGTACCTGTTGTGGCGCCGGCCGTGTATAGTTGCATTGTGTGCGTTGTCGCCCCCTCCGCTCCTTCCCCGCTCCCTTCCCGTCTCTCTCCCTCTCGCACTCCTGTACCACCTATAGCGTGCCAAGCAGGAGAATTGAAAGAAAAAAGTCTTGAGAACGATTGGATATAAAAAAGGCGATCTGTTTTTTGTGTTTTTTTCGTTTTCGATTCCCCTTTCCTGGTACTCCCCCCCCCCTCCCTGCCACCTCGCCATACCTAATCACGCACCCTGGACTCTTCTATACCAGTGCTCTCCGGAGAATCGGTAATTACTGCCGCTGAAATGACCTTCCCAACTGCAGTGCAGCAACCGGCCCAATTACTTGCAGCACCAGGAGCGGCAGGTACCCGCCGACGCACCTCGGTATTTTGCAGTCGTCGTTTGGCAGTGTATATACGCCGTCCGCGCTGCCGTGAGTCGGACCCGGCCGTCGTCCTATGGTGCTGATCGCCGTCCAGGGCCGCTCAATTGTTTTCGTGCTGCGCCGGTCAGCAGCAGGCGGGGCGGGGCGGGGCGCTGGTCAAGCTCGGCGAGGCGGTGGGTGGCCCGCGCGGGCCGCGGCCGTAGGCCCGTGCCCAGCTGCCCTGCCCTGCGCGCCCTCCTCCTGGGCCAAGGCCGGATGCGCATGCAATGAGCGCGGAGGAGGCGATGGGGAAGACCCTTGGGTAGGGTGGTCCAAAAAACAACTTTTGTTGATTTCTTTTGGGCCTCACTCGGATTAAGGTACTCCTAAAAAACACAAATCATATGCCGCAAACCCGAACCCGATCAGATCAAGGGAACCACTGCCTCACGGG